GTTGTTTGCACCGGCTGGCGTGTGACCAAGACTTGGCTGCTATGAGAGACATACAGCTATCGGCTTCTGTATACAGCTCATCAACTTGGAGCCATGAAACAAATTTTCCCTGTCATAAAATTGCTCTCGTAAACGTTTGTTACCATTATTCTATTCTTTGGCACTAACAACTGCTAAAATGAGACTAAATGTTACAGCTACCCACATGACCTTGTCTGTCGCTCAAACCCGGCATCGTTAATTAAAATAGCTGTATGCCCTGTTCATATTTTTTTCAGTGAAAGTTTTTTTAACAAATCATGGAAAAATATGTGACTTTTCTTTCCACCTTTTGTCGATCTTTATCAGAGCTTAGGTGAAATCTGATTGGTGCTCGCGCATTCAAGCTTATGCCTTGTTGGTGGCCATGGCGTTCCTGCCTTTGAATCGATTACAGAATGAAACGTAATGTATGGCTTTCCTCTCATTCACGGCATCGCTTTATAATATAATGGAGATCCACTTTCCAACAAAAGCATCTTTTTCGCAGTTACACATGCGCGCCGCGCTCGAGGATTTGGGCATCTCTATATCCATCCCAGATATCCTCGCAGGCGTGGCATGGAGAGAGACTTTTTTTGAAGTCGTGAAACTCCACCACAGATATCGACGCTATAATTTAGAAAAAAGCGCGCCGTCGTCGTTGTACGCCGTTAATTCAAATGAGGGACGTCACTCAGGAGCACCTAGAAACTTTGCGATGAGGGGAGGATAGAAGCAATCGAAATTTTAAAAAAGAAAAACCAGATCGGTTAAAAAAGTTCTCCGTACTACTCTACCGTATTTCTATGTTTATCCAGTACCATTTCCCCCCGGAATGGGCGAGATTTACCTCAGGGCCTAGTTGTTCAAAGCTGAGTTAAGATAACCCAGGGTGAGTGCGAGATTTGAATTCAGATTTGAAAGCTTAGAAAGCAGTTCAGGTGTAATTCTTTTTGTCTACAAGTTGATGATTGAAAGCTCTAAAAATAACGGAGAAAATTATCTGAGATAATGCTTTTGAACACAAGAAAAAAAAACCCGGGTTAAGCACTAATCGGCCTTCGAACAACTAGGCCCTGGTCAATACTGAATTATGTGAGAAAGGGGCCATTTTCTCTCATAAAAGATGTATAAAAGGGTTGCTGATTTTCAGTCATGTGTTACTTATTTAAATGTTTTATTTATTCCTTAACTACTTTAAAACTGCTTTTTTCAGCATATAGATAAGTTGACTTGCCTACAATTGATATTCAAGACAAACAATGAATTTGGTAGAAATTTTTCAACATACTTCCCAGGCTCGAGAAGGTTCAGAAAATCATCTATAAATTAATGGTTCATTTAGAACAGCAAATTTTCAAAATTTCAACCCCTTTTAATGCGATCTTAGATCTTAGTTTCCCATTGCAATCTCTAAGAATTTTCCCGAAAGAGTTCCTTAGAATATAACAGTTAATAACAGTTCATCCTCGCTCGTCCGTATTCATGGTCTTAAGCAAACAGAATCCACTTCGTTAAGCTTGTCCCTTAAAGGCTGCTGGTTATTGGCCTCGTTCATTTTTGTTTTACGTTTTTGAAGACCTTATGACTTCATCTCGAAACAATCTGCCAATATTCACTTACTTTGACCTCATGTTCGCTCAATAACGCATGTATATACAGGAGACATTTAAAAAAAAAACTTGCCTTAAACAAGTAGCTTTAAAACTTGCTTTTCCGTTGCTAAAAAAGATGCATCTCTACTCGTTTTAGCCACAAATGAGATTGCTCAATGCTTGATGTATGGTTTCAGGACAACTCAACCCTTGCACTACAAACACATGGACACCTCACACTCCTCATTTTGGGCCTAAGCTTTAAACCGATTCACGTTATTTTGGGGAATAAAAAGGCAAAAAGAAACCATCATTACTTAACGGCTGCACATTTCAGTATAAGTTATATTTGGATTCCCTCACCATAAAATCAACTTTTGCAAAATGTTATTTGCGAGGAAATGTAAAAATGACGAAATGGTACCTTTAAAATAAAACACAATACAAGGACGAGGAAATGAAGGAAAAAACAACGATTTATTTGTAAAAAGCTAGGAGGGTAATTATATTTAAATGTATATTTGAGAAATCTAACTTATTTTTTAAAAGTCTCCTTAACAGTTAACAAAAATGGTGTGTTTAATGCTATAATGCTATAGGAAGGAAATGGTTGGACGATAAGACGAACAACTGCTATGTACTTTCTTCTCTAGCGTACTGATCAAAACCTGAGTGAAAAGAAATAACAAGTTTTCTCTGAAAAATACAACTCAGTTGCAGATTATGTTGCTCTCGTGGTCCACTCTCTCCCCTTTTAGACACCGTATCCTTGAATCTTCAGTATCATTATTATTTTTTACTTTTATTGAGGAATAAAAAAATTAGCAATCAAGAAATCACAAACCTAAAGAAAACGCCTATAAAATCCAAAACAGTGGTCTCCATATATCAAAAAAAAAAACGGCATTAAAGGAGCTGTGTCACGAAATTCAGCCAAATTAGGAAATCACAAAATGCTCGTTAAATCAATAGAAACATAAAAATAACCGTTTAAAACTTTAAAGGAAGGTTAAAATAACATAACAGAAACAACAGATGCCACGGATGGGCAAAACTGAAGAAGATTGAAACGGATTGAAATTAGGCTTTTTGAAAACTGTTCAGCCTAACAGTTTTTCAAAGTTGATCCCTGCTGCTTGCAACTTCAAAAACAATGCTCAGGGGATATATTTGTTTGTCTCGGCTCTCTGATTTCGTCATTTACATGTAATTTCTTTGCTCACTTTAAGTTTCATAGCGATTGAGGGCGAGTAATTGGCCAAATTAAACAAAATGAACCGGACTGCCCTGACACAGCCCTTTTAATGAAGCTAGACAAAATAATACAAAGTTTGTTTAGTCTCTGTTTTATTCTCATTTCCTTCATGCCGGGCTATGCAATTTTTGCGTAATAGACTACATTCTGAATTGGATAACGCTAAGTTACTGATGTGCATATAATCTAGCGAGCGTTCAATATTGAAATGTCTAATGGCGAAAATACAACGGAAAAGAGCACTCCAACTAGAACTCGGAGGGTCGGGAGTTTGATTCTCACCTGAAGCTCGGAATTTATTCTCAGCTTTCTGATCTTAGATTTCTTCTTGCTCCAAATGGCATCACAGCATTACTGATTATCTGACCTTTTACAAATTTTCTAACGGTTTCTATTTAGTATGTGGCTATTAGCTAACTCTAATAATCTCATGAATTCAGCTATACTAAGCTATAAGTAACAAGGGCAAAACGTTCGGACCCTGTCCATTGATTTTTTCTCTGCAAAAGTTGACGGTCGGAAACTGATTTCATCGAATTGCGATGTTTTGTCAGGCACATGTAATACCTTATATAAAACAAGAAGATCAAAACGGAATATCTCGTACTCTTGTAAAAAAAGATAATTTCTTAAACAACTTCGTGGCCTTAACGTATTTCGCTTTTGGCCCTTCTCTCTCTGTTGCGTGGCAGAGAGGGAAGGTCCAGAAATGGATTGGATAGTCAACTTTAACTATTAAAAATTATGTTTTTGTCATTGATAGGTGGCACTCCGTGTCTAAAGTCTCTGTTCTCATTTCTGGCTCAACTTCAGTCTATTGAAGTATGCATCGTCTACGGTGCTACTAAAAGTTAAGCTATCAAGTAAATAAGTTTACTTTCTAAAAATCACTATGTTTAAATTGGGATGCTGATTGCACTGAGTAAAGTGCATCACCAGTTGCTTCGAGACGACCTATAGAAAGGGAAAAAAGTGTTAGTACAGTTCATGAGACATATTTTTTATATGTATAAAATTGAATGCGTCTACCTCTACATTTGTTAGAGTAAACTGCAAGGGCAATATAATTATAAGATAAGTAACCGTTCAGTTTCGCGTTGAAAGCAAATACAAATTTTATTTTTCCGTTTGACAATGCTGCCTCCATAGAACCGTAAATGCAAGGGCAATATAATTATAAGATAAGTAACCGTTCAGTTTCGCGTTGAAAGCAAATACAAATTTTATTTTTCCGTTTGACAATGCTGCCTCCCTAGAACCGTAAAGCTCCCTACCTAGCTTAGGAACTGCTGGCGTTCAAACCAATTCTGAGAAAGTTAACTGTCTGCTTTGTTGTACATTATGTTTTTTTTCGTCATTTTATGGCAATACATTAGAATCATTTTCCTCATTGCACAAACCTTAGGTTAATCGATTCTTAACTCGCTGGACGATCTTCTTCGCTAACCGCAAGGCTTCTTCTGCCATGTCTGCCGAGTACACATCGTTTGGGATTTTGGGAAAGCACACTCTATCCGGATAGCGCATGCGTGTAGAATTAACCACAAGGCATTCCAACTGACACGCTAGTTGGGTCAATTCAGAGTCTTCTAACTCTTGGCAAATCTGCAGCAAGTTGTGTACGTTTGTCCTCTCCACATCTATGGCGTATTGTGCAGCTTTGAGAGCCTTCTCTGCCGCCTATGACGAAAATTCTTTCATTTAGGAAGAACAAATGTTTTGTCTCCTCGTAATTAAGAAAAATCTATTGTTCACTTTCCGTTTACTGTCAAAACACTATTTTTCTTATGCGAGTTACAAAATAAGTATATTCTTCTAAGACCTCGTCAGTTGCTAAAGTCTTAAGGAAACAGCGATACCAAGTTTCTCGATATTTTTTGGTCATTCGTATCAAATACTGTTTAAACGATGCGAGTGGAAAAATACGTTTTACAGCTCATACGATAGACAATGCATCCCATTAGTACAATCAAGGGTCGGCTCCGAAAACTTGTCGAGACATTCAAGTTGAAAGAGAGACTGGGCAAAATTATTGCCGAATCAAGAAATCGCTTTGCCGAATGGACAAATGGGGGCAAAAAAAATCAAAGCGACTTAAGCAAGCAAGGGGGCCTGCATAGTTTCCAGCTTACCTGGTGGCATTTGAAACACGCCCATTCATAGAAGGGTCTTTGGTGGACAATGTCATTCTCTGTTGCTGCTATATCAGCCTCAGCCTGCCTGAGCCATCGCCTAGCTTCCCTTGGTTGAGGATTCCTCGCTCTGGCAGAGTTTCGAGAGAATTGCTGTCTGGATCTGTATCCTTCGCGCTGTGTGTGATGTTCCCTGGCGCGTTCCCCCCAGCAATTAAAAAACTGGCCGTAAGAGCCATGTTGACTTCGGCTGGAGCCCATTCCGGAGCTTTGCTGACATCCTCGAGGCTCCCCTCTTTCCAGCCGCGACGTTTCACTCTGGATATGTTTGCAAACTTCTGTGCAGAATTCCTCATCACCCACGTTTTTGTCAGGATGCCATTGCAGATACAGCCTCTTGATGATTTTTCGGCGTTTCTCCTCTGGTAATTTCCACGCATCTTCTAGAAGTTTCGAGATCTCATCAAATACCTCTTGCTGGTTTCTTCTTTTAGGTCGTTCGGGAGGACGCCGTTCTTGACCTTCAAATATTACAATTGCAGATGATAGGGTTGACAAACGATGAAACTTGTAAAGGTCTGCGACATCAACCTCTAATTCTTGGCCACCGCCAATGTCGATTTTGTATCTCTTCGTCAAGAGTGGAAGCCTTTCCTCTGTCACTTCCCTAACAACTCTTGCATAGATGTAAGTGGGAACACCTTTCTCGTGGTTTAAAGTTGGATCTTCGAGCTCAAAACCAACGTATTCACCAGGTTCAAATTCTTCAAAGGCATCGTTTAACAAATGATGGTCGATCACTGGAATAAAAGTGCCAAGTTTTGGATAGATATCAACTTCTGCCCGCGCAACGTAGGAGTCATCTGGACGCACATCCAAAGCATCTAATAACGCAGAAATGTCACTGGGGTCACAATTTAACACGCGAGGGATCATAAGTGCTCTGTTACCAAGAAGACCTTCCAAAACTAGTACAATTACGTCGGAAACTATGTAAATTGGAAGGGTTTCGCTCATTACCGAAAGCAGATCTAGATAGACCGTCCACTTCTCTTCATCTGAAATGACAGAACTTTCTACGAGGGAAGATACTCTCTTTTGGCTGCCCTGAACAGGACTGTTGTCACAAACTAAGACACTTTGGAGGTTCTCTACAACGCAGATATCAATACCACGAAGGCGACTTTCGACTTTTGCAATAACGTCGTCGTCTATATCCTTCCTGTTCTGGTTCTCGTCCCGTATCAGTCTCACAATCGCAGCAATGAACTGTGGGCAAGTCAGCTTGTGTTTGAGAGAATTCACCGCTGCAACCGAAATGGTTTTTATCTCACTCTTCGAGGAGATTGTTTCTTTAACTAAACTGGATAGCATTTTGGGTCGTAACTTAGTTGGCAATTTCATTACTAGCTCTTTGTAATTCGTCATAGCGGAACTGCAAGTCACTTTCATTGATTTCAGGTCAAGCAGCAGATGGTCAAAGTTCTGCAGACGATCAAGGAAAGACGGCGGAACATCACAAAATACCAAGTGCGAAGATTGTTGTAATGTCACTCGTATAACGTCCTCCGCTTCTTCTAAGGACCTTCCCCTAAAGGAAATTCCTGGAAGGTAAAGCTGTGGAAAGCTCGACAACTCTTCCTCGCTTTCCTCGAGCAGTTGAAAAAAACCTTTCACTGCTTTAACGCACGCTCTGATCTCGTTCGGATGTAGTTTGTCGTTGTTAGATTTCAGGTACAGCATTTGTAACACCATAGCGTAGTGGGCAATCGATACATACTTTGAACAACCGAGAGCTTGAAATAAAGGGTGAAACTTGCCAAAATCTTGAGGTAGACTGTAAAGAAAGGGCTTGATTTCGAGATGTTCATATAATTGGAGTACTGCCTGTCGGGGAAGAATAAATTTCTTCCCTTGCTCGACTAAAACGCAAGGCGTATTCACCAGAAGGCTTCTCACATCGTTCCCTGTGTTCAGCTTTGTCTGCAAGAACTCGTAAATGCGTTCCATCACTGCCTTTAAAGTCGTTCGTTTCTCAGGTGAGGGAATATTACTGTCATCGTTGTTTTCATGAGAGTGACAAACGGCTTGACAATGACGAACAACAAGTTCTAGAGATGGCTCTGCAACAATTTGAAGTTGAGAAGCAAAACTATTGCAGTAATTCTCAATGCGCATTTTGTGGGGACAGCTAAGTTCACGGCGGCAAGCCATTGGATCCGCCCAACGTGGAAGTAAACGCGCCTGTGTCCAAACAATTTCAGCATACTCGGCTGGAACGGCCCCTTTGAATGCACAGAACGGAATCTGGTTATCAGCCATTCCCTGATATGGCAGGGAAACCTCTCGGAGCCCTTTTCTTGCCGGCTCGCTGCTTACAAAAGGTATCTCGGCTATGGAAGGTAAGAGACCTTCACCCACTACATTGTGTCGGTGAAAAAGATGTTTCACTAGAACTCGTGACTTCTCAAATGTCCTCGCTGTTTGTGCTGCAATGGCTTCGTGTGCAACCTCTCTGGCAAATTTATTGAAGTGATCATGGGAGACCTCATGAATCAACCCTATTGTCCTTAAAACCATTAACCATTCTGGCGAATTAAGTGGCTTCGAAGGGAAAGTGGTTGGTGGGAGTATTATGCGAAAAACGTCAACGTCAGGGTCGTAGAATGAGGATGCAGTTTGAAGCGTTCCATCTATGGAGGGAATAAATGGAGTTGTTTCCAAACAGTTCCTAAGCCTTTGTTTGTCCATGTCATTATCTACTGCAAATTCTGAAAGAAGGTGTTTACGAATGTACTCCAGGTGTACTAGCCTCCCTTCTTGGCTGAAGATGTGAAACGTTGGCAGAATGTATGTGCAGTAAACGTCTACGGCAGAAACGCACTCTAGATCCAGGAATTTGAACAAATTTGAGAGAACTGCCCAGGATTCAATGAAGACTAACTTTCGGTGTCGCTCCAAGATTTCCATTTCCTTTCTCGGTATCCCAACTGGAAGGACACAAACACGGCAATCATTGTCAAGTGGTACAAAGCCACCATGTGTCGCTAAGAAGAACGGAAGCTTTTTTAGCTTGCTTTTGTCTGCCTCATGAAGACCGGCCGCACTTTTACTGAAGTACTCCAAAATTGTTCTACAGTCCTTTGAATCCAGTCTCTCAGGAGACTGAGGGTCTTTCTCTATCTTATGGCGGATGGCAGTAAGTAGAGATGAAGGAATCTTCAGAGAAGAAACCAAATAAGGTGCAAGCCGGATCGCAGAGCTCAAGTTTGACAGTACAGCATAATTGAGTTCTGGTACACCGAGTTTCTTTAAAACTTCCAAGAGATTATTACTGGAAGCATCTGAGCTTCTGTAATCGAGGACAGCCGTTGCCTTGGATAAGGGAACAAGAAACTGAGTGGACGTTGGGTATATACTGAATGGAAGAAAAGGGCTTGTCCGCGCTTCAATTTTAGACTCTGTAGCTGGAAGGATACTCCAGTTGGCAAGAGATCCAAGAGCAGACTTAATCTGAGAACACTTGGTTTGTTCAGGTAGACTTTCATCACGGAGAACTTTTGCAAACAGGTCGCTAAGGAAAATCCACACTCTGGATATCCATCGTTGGTTGGGAACACCGTCTTGATTCCAAGACCACTCTACAAAACGACCTTTTCCATAACGATCAAGCTCTAGTGTTTGGGCTAGATGAGCCGAGAATCCCTCTACATCCAAAGGCCTGACTAAGGATGATTTCCACTTTGCAGGCTCATTGAACACTTTCTGATCAACGTTCATATGCACAAAGACGTGCGGCGAGCCAGGCAAGATATCGTGAAATCTGGAAAAAAACTTGGGATCCTCTGTTGAGAAGAGTCGAAGACAGCTGTCTTGTGTTAAAAGCAGTGGAAGACCCGGCAAGTGATCAGTAAAATTGGCCATTCCTTTACAGTATAACAGGACAAGAATTAACCCAAAGGTATCTCGGAAAGGGGTTTCACTTATATAGCAGGGTATGGATCCAATCTTACACAACGGATCTCGAGAGGTTAACGATTTATAGAAATCAACCACTGAACGCGGGGTAACTGTACACGCGGGAATTCCAGATCGTGTCAATGTTTTATGCAAGTTCAAGGAGAAGGCTACCAGGTTGAATCCACTTTCCAATAATATCTCTTCAAACGTTCTGCTTGCATTTGTCTGGGGCTCATTTCTTTCCCTCTGTGGCAGTCTGGCAAAGGGACCATTTTCTGCAAGGTCATTAAAGAACGCCTCTTGTCGTTTACTCTGCCCAACAGGAGGAAACCAGCTGAGCTCAACAATGTGCCTGCTTTCGCATTCTGGAAACACTGCATTGGATATTTTGTTTCTTATTACTGGTAAAACTCTTACCATGTTGCTTGCCATTTCAGCATAAAGAGAATCTACCAGTGTCTCCCAGTACGGGTCCGAAAGAGGTTTGAGAGGAAAGATGCTTTCGTAGGCCTTGATGCTTTGCAAAATCTCACCTTCGGAACACGTTAAAGTGCAAGGTTTTCCGTCTTTAGAGACGGGCAATTTAAGAAAAGCTCGCACTTCAGTTAATAACGTGAGATAGCATGAGGCCACCACATCTCCTAGTAAGGCATTGTTCCAGTCACTGCGATACCCATCCCCTTCGTCTCTCCATAAATTTCGCCTTGCTTCGTGGTCCAGTGCAAAATGCGCGTTGATGTGCACTGGTAGATCCGTTTCAAATGGAAGTGGAAGAAAACAGTAGGCTTTCTTACGTCGCTCGACATTGTCTTTTGAATTCTTTTCTAAAATACAGGCAACACCACCGCGAGGAAGCATTCCCAGCTCCTTTCGCTTGAAGGCATTCACTATACTCTTTTTCACCGCCTTCTGAAATCCCATCTGTTGCACAATGAACCATTTCTCTTGGTTGAGAAAACTGTCTGAAATATTCAGCACGTAAGACACTTTCGCTGCTGGAATATCACTTGGAAGGGGATACGTTCCAACCTTTTTTATCCTTTCGCAAAACGTCTGCTTTTCGGTCTCATCCTCCTTTGACATAGCAGTCTCAACAGAGTAAAAATTAACTAGTTCTCCAGTGTTTTTGTGAACCTCACAGATGGTAATCTTTTTTACATTGTTGACGAATAAGAGGACTTCAAACAATTCCTTTCTAAGGTCCTCTAGCATTGTATCCAACATCTCAAACGTCACAAGCCTGTTTGATATTAGAGAATTCATGGACATTTGTCTTGTTCTCAGAGGAAATCTGAACATTGTGCCATTTTCAATTTGAAAGTGATTCTCCAGATAACACGGAAATACATCCGGGAATTGCTTTCTTAGGTATGGGATGTCCTCGAAACGCATTCCTGGTTCTTGAGGTGTTGCGCCAGGAACATATCTGCAATTGGGGTCAAATGCACACAAAACTTCTCCAATGTCCTTTCCTTTTGTTATAAAAGAGGGTACATCAGTCAAGTGGTAAACAGCGTTAAAGCCGACTCCATACTGGCCAGTCTTGTTAGGATCATCCCCTTTACTTCCTTCCCCAAGGTTTCGTATTCCCTCAATGTCTTCATTTCTGAAGGGTTTGTTGTTATACACACACAATGCAGGACCTTGCAGAGGCTTCCAAATGTCTTCAAAAACTCTTTCGTCTGGATGGTGTCGAGGATCTTTAATGAACCAAACCTCAGTTGCTTGTGCATCATCAGCATTTTGAAGGAGCTCTTTCAAAATTTCTTTTTCACAAGGATAACCTGTTAGAATGCGTTTTAAGCGGTTTGCGAGTTTCTCTCGTTGCCCAAAGGGAATCCCATATGCACGCGGTCTCAGGGCTTCTTGTTTTCGTGTCTTTACTCCGAGTTTCCTACTTGTTAGTAAAGGAATGTTGTCATTAATAAAGTTCACACCTTCTTCGTCCGGCAGCCAAGAACAGTCTCTAATACAAAGTTCAGACACTGGGTGCATTATTCCTTTAGAGTTGGGGACGTATATCACTTCCCACAGCTGCCTGTTAGTTCTGGTGACATCGAGAGTTTCACTGAGTTGCTTTGCGATATGTATTGCAACTTGAAGATTTTGGTTATCTAAGGGCTGTTGTCCGGCTTGTTCCTTTATTTTCTGTAGGCTTGAAATGTAATCCTGTTCATCGAATTTGGTCTTAACACCAGCCGCCTTCAGTAATGGGGTAAAAGACAAAGCTAACTCATGCGTAATTTGGAACAGATACGGGGAGCAATCAACGGGCAATGTAAATGCAACCTGATTGGCAGAGAGAAACCTCCTACCGACAAGAATAAAACTTGTTCCTTGAAGGTATGCTACGATTTCATCACTGAAACGAGCAAGGGAGTTCTGAAGACATGAATAAAGACTGGTACAGACCAGGCTTAGTTCCTTGTACTCTGATGCACTAAGTAAATCTACTTTTGTGGACACTGCTGCCGTCAGTTGGTGCACCACCTGATCCAATGTAATTCCCTTTTTGTCTAGATCTAACAGGGATCTCACTTCCTTTGGAACGGAAACCCCAATTAATGGTACTGTGCAGCACACTAAGTACTTTTTCTCTTCTAGGAAAGCTTCATTCGGTGCTAGCAATACTTGTGAATTTTCTACAAGTTCTTCTCCCTTCCAATGGAGAGGAAATTCTCTTGGTTTCTGGAGAATGGGAAGAAATTTAGTATTTAACAAACGAGCAGAAATCTGAGATGTAGGTTTCTCTTGGCGAATTAACTTCTTCTCCATGAAAGATAACAATGCTTTTATGCGTGTTAATGCTTCGTTACTGCTTTCTGAATTAAGCTTTTGGATACTCTGGGCTCGTTCTGTAAGATCGGACCAAGGAAGATCATTCGATAACATTCCCAGTTGTACAAGCTTGGACAACCTTTGCCGGTGAGCATACGATTCTTCATTCCCATAAGGAAATCTACCATCTTCAGGGGAAAATAGTGACGCTGCTTCTCCGTAGGGATGAACGAGTTCGCTAGGAGTCATAAGAGTTTTACCAAATGGTGCAGATGGGACACAAGGGTGCCGCCTTATCAGGTCATAGAACTCCCCACTTCTGTCATCTAAAGCATGTAGAGTCAGGACATCTCTAACATTGGCCGGGAGGATGTGAACGTTTGGAAAAAAAACTTCACGAAAAAATCTTTTCTTGCTATATTTTCTGGCACCGATTGCTTTCTCCAGGCGACAATTTTCGAAAGACTGCAAAATATCGGCAGGTAAGTCTATGACTATTTCTCTACCCCTGTGACACATTTTTAGAACGTCATTCGCGGCCTCCCCGATATAGGGCTTTTTGCGGAAAGATGGATCAAGAAAAATGACTTGCGTAATGTCAGCCCAGTGCTCTCCATTGGAGAAAAGAAAATAACCACCCCTGCTGAGTTGTGTGTAGAACGACAGAACTAGTGGAAAGCAGTTTCGATGAACTTCGGACGTCTTTGGCCACAGACAATGAAACTTGTACGAGCCATCTTTGGGAGCAATGCCTTTCATATCTTCCAGAAGATCTAAGAGAGCAGATGTTACAGAGTCTAGCAGCAGTACATTGTTCCATTCCACTCCATAGCAAGACTTGTCGTCTTCCAGTTTCATTTGCAAGTGACGCCTATTCGAGGCTAAGGCGAATGCTCCATTTATGTGAACTGGTAGACCGCTATGAATTGGTAGTGGCAGGTAGCAGAATATAGTGCCTTTGAGATCTAAACCATCAAACGTTTTCGCAACTGGTGAGGGACAGAAAGTGTTCGACTCTGTTGGAAGCAACTGAACGGCTGCTCCCGCTGAAGGAAGAAGACAAGGATCGTCATTTGCAAACTTCAGTGCTTGGCCGTTCCCCATAGACGAGACAATGAGCCATGTTGCCTTTTCCGAATGGAAACCGTCATGAAAGAAATCAGAACCGCTTTTTGTTAACCTGCACTCGACGTCAACTATCATGGACGACTTTGGAAGCTTTTTGGGGTCGACTTTCTTGCCGCGTGCCAACATCTTGCTTTTTGATGAAGCTTGAAGGAAGTTGCACTGTTGAAGAAAACTCATTTCCTCTGGAGTAAGCTTAAATGCAGTTGGAGGAAGGGTAAATGTAAACGACAGTTCTCTCAAGATTCCAGCATGGGATGCCGATTTTGTGACCTGAAACATCAATGTAGGTTGTGGATCTTGGCTTTCCGTGTTCGGTAAGTGATAGATTCCCACACTTAGAACATTCTGCGTGAATAGAAGTACATTCTCAGCACCGTGGAGAAACATTTGCAGCAATTCGCGCATCTGCTCTTGGTTGTACCATAACTTCTTAATTTCACTCGCTGAAGCCTGATCTTCCGTCCGCAGTGGAAATCGAAAAAGGGTTCCGTCAAATGAGTTGTCTTGTTTCTCGAGACGTAAATCACACCCAAAGACGCCATAGAAGGGCTTTAACTGATTTTTGAATTTTTTCAGTCTTTTGACGTCTTTGTTGAGATTTATTTTCATTCCCGGTCTTCTTATGTTTCTGATCGCTTTTCCCAGGAAGGAAGTGTGAGGATCAAAGATCGCCAAGTAGTTCCTACTAACGAACATGGGGACATCTGTAAGGTTGTACACTGCATTGAATCCAAGTCCAAATCTGCCGATCTTTGCAGTGTCATGCGCTTTGGTTGCTTCATTTAGTCTCGTGATGTTAACAAAGTCCTCATCTTTAAACGTTGCATCGTTGTAGACCCATAAGGCGGGACCCTGACAACCTTTCATTCCTTCGTCAATGAGGCAGGTTTTGGCATCCTCATTAGTTCGCTCATCGTAAAGAAATCTAACCTCAGTGGCACCAGCATCGTCTGCGTTCTGAATTAGTTCTTTTGGCACTGCAAACCCATCAGTGTAGTCTTCTAGTAGTCGATTGAGTCGAGTAGTAAGCTTCTCTTCCTGCCCAAATTCTTCTCCTATGTACAGCTCCTCAGGCTCCAACATTCGATTTGTAAGAGAAGGAACACCAAGACGTTGAGCAGTGCGGCTAGGAACATCGGGGTGCACGTATAAGTATTCCATGTCTTCATCTTCCCCGTCGTTTGCAAGCCAATCTCTGTTTTCACTGTACATGCAGCGCTCAACCGGCTCAAGCAGCACATATTTGTTCTCGGTATAAACAGGAATAACAATCCTCTCTTGAATATCTGGGGGTAATTCTTCTTGTGCCAACTCATTTAATATGCCAACAGATAACTGTAGGTCATGGTACACTTCATAGGTGGATAATGGAGCCACTTCAGCGTCATACTTTTCTTTGATTGCGTAAAGAACTTGTAGTAGGACATTTGGATCAGTATGTGTTCTGACTCCAAACCGTTCAAAGAGGAGGGAGAACTTCATCGTCTCCGAGGGAAGAGGGTGTACGTAGGGTGTAAGATCAAAAGGTAGTTTACCCGAAAGGACTTGATAAGGTGAGGAAAAGCCATCTCCGTTCCATACCCAGTTGACGATTTCCATTTGCTGAAATACCAGACTTAAGGCTTGGTAGTTTGCACGACTGAGGTAAGAGTAGATTTCGTTTAAGATAACCATGTAATATGGTTTCTCGTCTTTGGAATAGAAACTTATTACATTTCTCAACTGCAATGCAACATCAAAGACATCTGGTAATTTTTGCCAGCCAAAATATTCGAACACTTCCGTAAGTGGCTCTAATTCCACAACGGGCCTAACGGATCCTATGAGATTGACCAGGGTAGGACTCTTTAGCTCGGTTGGCTTGAAAAAGCACTCCGCTCCTTTCTCAGTTTTGAACCATGGAAGCGAAGGAGGAAAACTTGATTGTTTCTGCTGCAATCGTGGCACCCACTGCATTTTCATGAGTAGCAGTCCCAGCTCTGTTCCATCGACTTTTTTCTTCAGTTTCTTAGGGTGATTGTTGAGATGATATAAAATTGCCTTAGACTTCTGTCTTGCTGTTTGGTGATGTGCAATTCTGTTAACTTGTTTGACACTATGAAAGAGGTCTTTAGCACTGATGTTGGACTCATCTTTCATTCCAAGTACCTCCAAAATAACGAGGGTAGCTGGATCAGTGTACATCTCACCTGCAGGAAAGACATCTTCTTGAGCAAATATCTTTTTCAGTGTGGTGTCTCGGGGATCAAACACATCTGATGCCCTAACCCGTTCTGTCTGCTTTGGGACAAAGGCCAGAGCTTGCAGTTGCCACTTAAAATTAGCGTTTTTACGGATCATATGTGTAAAACGTTCAAAAACATAGAGCATCACTTCATCAATTTGATCTTCATCGTAGTTTCCTTCATGGATTCCGGGAAATATTATCTCGCAGATGACCTCAATGGGCTGTAAAATCCTGACTTTAAGTATTTGTGCCAGAGTCCAGGAGTCGTCGTTGGAAATATCAATAAGGTCTTGCGGTGGAGGAACTGGAAGGGCCTCGGCAGGGGCAGCTTTCAAGCCATCATTCTTCGAAACAAACCTCTTGTAGAGTGTCTCGAAAATTGGTAAGGAACACAAGAAGACTCTATAACCTTCCTTTTCCATGTCAAAGGAGCTGATATTTGCAAGAAAGGACCTTAGGGTAAGCTTTTCTGTTTTTGAAAGTTCTCTTTGAAGGATTTCAGAAAAACTTCCTGGTGGCAATTTAGATTTCATTGTCATCATTGCTTTCAGAACACCTTGGACAGTTGGTGCATTCACGTACGTTCCCATGACAGCTGGATGGTAGCTTATAAACGTCGGTAGATCATGCATTTGACACTATGAAAGAGGTCTTTAGCACTGATGTTGGACTCATCTTTCATTCCAAGTACCTCCAAAATAACGAGGGTAGCTGGATCAGTGTACATCTCACCTGCGGGAAAGACATCTTCTTGAGCAAATATCTTTTTTAGTGTGGTGTCTCGGGGATCAAACACATCTGATGCCCTAACCCGGTCTGTCTGCTTTGGGACAAAGGACAGAGCTTGCAGTTGCCACTTAAAATTAGCGTTTTTACGGATCATATGTGTAAAACGTTCAAAAACATAGAACATCACTTCATCAATTTGATCTTCATCGTAGTTTCCTTCATGGATTCCGGGAAATATTATCTCGCAGATGACCTCAATGGGTTGTAAAATCCTGACTTTAAGTATTTGTGCCAGAGTCCAGGAGTCGTTGTTGGAAATATCAATAAGGTCTTGCGGTGGAGGGACTGGAAGGGCCTCGGCAGGGGCTGCTTTCAAGCCATCATTCTTTGAAACAAACCTCTTGTAGAGTGTTTCGAAAATTGGTAAGGAACACAAGAAGACTCTATAACCTTCCTTTTCAATGTCAAAGGAGCTGATATTTGCAAGAAAGGACCTTAGGGTAAGCTTTTCTGTTTTTGAAAGGTCTCTTTGAAGGATTTCAGAAAAACTTCCTGGTGGCAATGTAGATTTCATTGTCATCATTGCTTTCAGAACACCTTGGACAGTTGGTGCATTCACGTACGTTCCCATGACAGCTGGATGGTAGCTTATAAACGTCGGTAGATCATGCAATACAATAATTTCGAGCCTTTTTAACACATTTGCCAAGTTCTCATCAATGCTTTCTTCATTATACTGTTTCACAACAATCCTACTTGGGCGGGAGAGACGCGTCAAGGTAACAGGCGTCTGAGACATACTCAACGGGATTAGAGGTAGTCCTTCGAGTTGGCGAATATCCCACTTATTCATAAAATGCCGCTGCAGATAATTCCAAAGTGACTTGATCCATGCTCTTGAAGGATGATGGTAACTGGGGCTATCTGGATACCACAACACTGAGTCGCCTTTTTTCCAGTCTTGCGGAAGTGACTGCTCAAGAAGTTCAGGTACATGGTGGCTTCTAAGGAGCTGTAGTTGAGTATGTCCTGTTGTATTTAAATGTAATTATAAAACACGTTGAATAGCACGTCTAAGACCTTATCATTGGTGTTTTCGTTTTAAAAACCAAAGGCAAAGTATGACTGATTATCAAGACAATTTTTAAAAAAGGAACTAAACCGCTGAACAATCTTTTCAATCTTTTATTATAATGCAGTTGATTTAGGAAACTTTTTGAAACGCTGAAACGAAGAAAAACGTACATTGATAGAAACTCAGAGAAAAGAAACCTCAACTGAACAGCCACTCTGACTTTACAACAGTAAGCTATTTACCTTATAATCAACAAGTCTTACATTTTATATTGTATTTCTCAGTTCATCACATTCAACTAAACTTCGGCGCGTATGTCGTTAAACAATGACATCAGGGAATTAAGACTGAAAATGATGAGCTGGCATCATCGAAATATAATCACTATCGCTGATTTCCATCCTCAACTTTTAGCAAATGATATAAATCCAAATAAATTTTACTGTTGATTACATTAGTAGAATTGAAGAATCCAGATTATTTGGGTTTAATACGGCATACAAAACAAACTTTTGTTCACCATGAGAAAGGGTGTGTTCCAGTGCTCATTTGCGTCTTCCTGGCCTACACATTGATTCTAGTATCCAGAGGAATAACTCATGTTGTGAGAAGCCTACCTTCAGAAGCTGCGCTTGTTAGTCTTTGAAGAATATCTTCGTCCAAGTCGTTCTGCAAAAATGTTTCAGGTGTGCCTGGAAACAGTTCTTGAGGATGTTCTGGAGAGGTTATGTAAACTNCTGGATACCACAACACTGGGTCGCCTTTTTTCCAGTCTTGCGGAAGTGACTGCCCAAGAAGTTCAGGTACATGGTGGCTTCTAAGGAGCTGTAGTTGAGTATGTTCTGTTGTATTTAAATGTAATTATAAAACACGTTGATTAGCACGTCCAAGACCTTATCATTGGTGTTTTCGTTTTAAAAACCAAAGGCAAAGTATGACTGATTATCAAGACAAGTTTTAAAAAAGGAGCTGAACAATCTTTTCAATCTTTTATTGTACTGCGGTTGATTTAGGAAACTTTTCGAAACGCTTAAACGAAGAAAAACGTACATTGATGGAAACCCAGAGAAAAGAAACCTCAACAGAACAGCCACTCTGACTTTATAACAGTAAGCTATTTACCTGATAATCAACAAGTTTTACATTTTATATTGTATTTCTCAGCTCATCACATTCAACTAGACTTCGGCGCGTATCTCGTTAAACAATGACATCACGGAATTAAGAATGAAAATGATGAGATGGCATCATCGAAACGTCATCACTATCGCTCATTTCCATCCTTAACCTTTAGCAAATGATATAAATCCAAATAAATTTTACTGTAGGCGTTGATTACATTAGTAGAATTGAAGAATCCAGATTATTTCGGTTTAATACGGCATACAAAACGAACTTTTGTTCTCCATGCGAAAGGGTGTGCTCCAGTGCTCATTTGTGCCTTCCTGGCCTAAACATTGATTCTGGTATCCGGAGAAATAGCTCATGTTATGAGAAGCCTACCTTCAGAAGCTGCGCTTGTTAGTCTTTGAAGAATATCTTCGTCCAAGTCGTTCTGCAAAAATGTTTCAGGTGTGCCTGGAAACAGTTCTTGAGGATGTTCTGGAGAGGTTATGTAAACTGTCGTAGCACTGCTATCAAATTTGGCAAACGTTCCATTGGCCAATGGCAAAAGTTGCAAGCTAGCCAGATCCTTAAAAGCACGATCACTGAGACAGAACTGAAGGAGCAGCAGCTTTTCTGTCTTATCAAGCCTTGTGTAGCATAAGGGTACCTTCCTTAACACATGTCGTATCAAAGAAGGCGTGATTTCGTTTTGATTTAATGCATAGGCATCCAGAGCCCGGAGTACATGACTTGGTGCAGTAACAGTAGGGGCACCGATGGATAGCAGAACCTTCTGAAGCAGTTGAAGTTGTTCGCCGTCCGTTCGACGCTGAAAAAGCGCTTCTGAAACGGCCAGCCAATTACCACCTTTTGCTTCTGTGTGAACAACGTTCTTTGCCAAAAGTAACTGAAACAAAGGTTCCTCAAGTCCTTCCCACTGCTTGTTTATAGACTTTATGTCAGGCCAAGCTCTGAAAGGAGATAAAAAATAGAGTACTGATTGCGACTCCTGCTTTGTCAATGCCCTGTTTTGCAGCCTGTAAAACACTTGGCTGCTTTAATGGCACCACCGGCTCCCTTTAACCCACATCAAGTGCGTTTTATTTTCGCTTGACCTTGTTTTCGTGACGCCTTTACTATCTCAGATTGTTTCTGTTATATAATATTATTAAAACAGAAAGTTCGGCCTTTTTGATTTTCCTAGTTGATATTTTTTCTGAACTGACCTAACTTCCATACGAACATTCTTGGGATTTCATTTTGACATTAAGAGCAAATCAGTGTAATTAGAATCCAAGAAGGTCAGGTTGAAAAATTGTATTGGATTCAAGATGCACTGGACTATAATAAAGAAAATTTGTTCAATAGTCTTACAGAACAGTTTTCATCTGAATAACAGCAAAAATGGATCACACTTACGTTGTGGGTGGTGCTTTATGGTAGACCAAATACTTGCTTAATTTATAATCACGGCACAGTGAGTATCAGAAAACGGTGGTGACTAGACGGGATAACTAAAAATCAGGTTGGACACCTTATGTCTACTACATAACGCTATACTCTATACCACGCTATACTATATTTATGCGAATTGATTGGGCACATTCTTGAAAAGAAGAGTGGAAGAGTGAAAAAGTGAAGAAGATTGGGGAAATCAGAGTAAAAGACAGTTGTACAAGGAAAAGGGTTGAATAGAGGGTTTAGCACCGAAGTACAGTGATTAGGGTTAAGGACTGTTTAAAAACCCGTTAGCTTTCAATAGTGTAATGATCAATGCCATGTAAAGTACGTTAAAATTAACCGGTGTCGGCAGTTAGCCCTTGATGGTGTAGTGGATACGTGTAGTGGATGCGGATATGGATTATACATTAAGTGACGTTGGTTCAAGTCCTACATACTACCTACTGTTTTCTTTCTTCTCTTATATACGACTTTAAGTTATAAGACTCGATCCTGTCATGTATTTTGAGTGAAGATGACAATCTGACTTGGTATCCATTCTAGTCACATTAGAAAACCTCTTTTCTCAGATACACAAGATGATGATCTCTAAGGTTCTCCTTTCATGAACAAAATCTGCGAAAGCTTCAACGTCTTGATATAATATTTTATGGATTATCATTCATAATTTATCTTTTTTTCTCACTTTAAAATGGAGTTAAAGAAAGTAAATTTGCCAAAAAAAAACCTATAGTCAGGATAGCAGTGGAAAGACAATGAAGGATGAAGACACTATCCATGAGGCCAACAGAAGTCAAATATAGAAAATAAATAGGCCATCGAAATATTTTTTTCAGGCGTCAAGAACATTGAACAGTGATGGCGGTTACGAGCTCCCTACTTTCTACGTATACTGGGACGTTTTGTCGCGTGATTCGCAGTATAAATAACGCGACAAAACGTCCCATTCCATCACTTGATAAAGATTCCGCGATGAAGTCGTAAGCTTGTGTATAAGAAGTTGTTTTTTCTATCCTGGGAATTGGATCTTTCTTTAATCTGCATACTTTTACTTTTTCAAACTCGTGTAAACGTCAGAAGGACATCCTTTTCTCCTATTTCACTAAATATCCGTAAAATCTTTTAAGTAATTTTAATTAACAAAGTAATCTTTAAAAAGATTACTTTGTTTTCTGAAAAAAAAAAAAAAACAACAACCAGTAGCGAACAAATTTCATTAGGGCGCCGTATTTCGATGTACTGAAACATGTAACTTACTTATAGATTGCTGTCTTGGAAATGAAAACAGACTTCTCATTTATGGCTTCCAAAATCATGGTGGTATAAGCCTTAGGAAGGGCCTCTTCGAGGAGACACTTGTTCCATAACAAGGATTTATCAGTCATCTTACGTCCTGTCTTCTGGCGTTCTTCTTGATCTGCATTCGGAGACTTGATGTAACGCCTATTTTGACTCAAGGCAAAGAAACCATTAACGTGCACTGGCAAACCAGTTAAGCTTTTCGTCTGGACTGGTAACGGCAAGAAACAAAAGACGTGGCCTTGGATATCAGGCGTCTGTAACTGTGGACCGTCTGGCAATGCCATGGCAACACCAACTGTGGGGAGATAGCTGAGAACCTTATCTGTCATCAACTTTTTGAACGTTGAAGATACTTGCCCACCACAGAAGTAGTTTGTAACAAAGAATGAGTGTTTCTCTGTCAAGTGCGTCTCAAAATTAGTTGTTTCAATGGTCATTGGATAGCTCACTGTGACTGGTTCGGGCATAACTTTCCCAGGTGTGATTTTCTTCCGAAACTCCTTTCTCTTCGCACGAACTGTTTGCAGGCTTTTCTCTGCAATCTTTACTTGAAAGATTTTACTGGGGCTGGAATCTGATTCCTCTCTGGTATAGAGCTCAACAGATTCCAGACTCTGCAAAAACAGGAGGATCAGGGAAGCATCGGCTTTGAAACTGTCAAACAACGTCCTCATCTTATCTTCGTTGTACAATGTTTCTGAAAGGTCTGAGCGTTCCCTTCTGAATGGAAAACGGAATAGGGTTCCGTCATAGAATCCCTGGGAGAAAACTTCATCTGTGCAGTTAAATATGCCTTTATAAGGAAGGAATTGGTCTGAAAACTCATCGATGGACGCGCGGTCTTCGTCAAGTCGCCAGTACTTCCCTGTTCGTATGCGACGCCTGTCCGGAAAATGAACGCCATGAGGATCAATAAAGCCAATCCGCGAATCACTGATCAAGCTTGGCAAATCTGAGGGGAGAAAGGGCTACGTACGTAAAAGTTAATTACTAAACTTAAATAATATGCATCACTTTCGAACCTCTCCATACTGTCACCTCCCTGTTACGGACACCGCTGAAATGTGAGCGACACCTCTCTATTACAGACAGTTTCCTACTGATAAAATCTCAATACAGCATATTAAATAGTTTAGAGAAGGTCTGTAAAGACTATTGTCAGCTACCCTTTCTTCAACCATAGTAGCTTTCCCTTAATTGATTTGACAACTCAGTTTTGTAAGCCTTGAGTAAGTCGCACAAACTACTACCTCGTCGCACTGACGTCGAGCTTAAGTGGTTTCCCAACGCTGAAGTGGGGGATGATTGGTCGCTACTTTTTTTTTTACCTTTTCTGGACCAGATATCTTAATTAATAAAGAAAATCTCTCGCGTACGCGGAAAGTATTTACTTTACCTGTCATGTGAAACACAGATTTGAATCCCAAACCAAAGCGACCAACTTTCATGGGATCCTCTACTTTGATGCTGTCACAGACTAATCGGATGCCTCTCCAATCTTCTTTGGAAAATTTGGAGTTGTTGTAGGCATAAAGTGCTGGACCCTATGAACAAGTAACAAGGATATAAGTTCCTTAACATTTAGCGCTTTTTTCGTGCGCCTTTAATATGGTTCTTTTTTTTCAAGCAGAGAAGAACCTCTCAAAACAAACATCTTACGATAAGACACCGGAGGCCGTTGTATGAAGGGGGCAGTTTTAAATATTTGGAAACAAGACTAAATCTGTCTGCCGGGACTGGAACAAGGGCCTGCAAAGGAAAGGTGGCCTTTTTAACAGAGGCATCACTGAACGATATAGCTAATCGGATCACCAAAAGCTTTTTATAAGACCATCGGCATGAAGGACGCCAAATTTGCAAGGCTATGAACTCTGGAAAATGAGTTAGAATGACTATACGTATTGGCACTAAGATTGAGGCACACAGGTCGAGAAACGAGGGAACGCCGGAAACGAATTAAAGGGGGCAGTCTAGCAAGAAAAGGACGAGCTCGAGTTTGGTTGGTACATCACCACAAAGCAGGGCTGGTAGACAGAAATCGTGATGTTCATCTACGAAATTCATGAATTGGCGCTTTCGTCAGGTTCAAGATTTAAATCGAACTGAGAAGGTGGTACCTGAAATTTTGCCAGTTCATCGTTATAGAGCTCATCTGTGCCATAGCTGTGTTTGTCGTGCAGAAATTTGACTTGTGTGGCACCCGCGTCTTCCGCATTTTGAATAAGTTCCTTAGAAACAAAACAAAATACATCATAATTAATCTACAGAGCAATGCGCGGGTATTATTAAGGAAACGTAAACAGTACAGAACTTTAAGATATCATTAACATAAAGACAAAGTAAAATCTCCGTAAGGAAATGTTTGGCTGTAATTCAAATTCATGAAGTCCACTAAGAGGGAGGGCAATCGCGGAAAGGTCGTAACTTGCAAACCTACTATCATATCTCTAGGCTAGGTGTTTTAAAAAATAGAAAATGATCATTAAATGGGATAAAAATAATTAAGGCTGAACGTGTAAGTGCAAAAACGAAAAAGAAAAGGTGAGAAAAAAATAATGCAAGAATAAACAAAAAAAAGGCGAAAGAAGCGAAAAATTACACACAGTCATTAAGAAAACTGAAATGTGCTTGATTACCAAGAAAAAAGGCTTACGCTTAGAAATTTGAACAAAGCAATACTAGACATCGCCTGTAGCAATTTTCAACAAGAACATGACATGGACAGACTACAGTGTCAACAAAATAGATCTGCCTGGATTAACGTATCGGAGGAGGACCTTTCTTTTGCAAGGCGCAAAAATTTTTCATGAACTTTAGCAGCAGTAGCTGGCAGTCTCTCAAGGCTTGGCTATATAGAATAATACCTGTGGAGGGATGAAAAACGAGCTCCCTTAAAAACGCCTGCGTGGGAGGCTAGAGCTCCGAGGCCTTGGTCATTATTTTCAAGAAGGCCGAGGAGCGAGGGCATTATCCGATTTAATGCTCCTTTCCATTGTTTTAGAACCAGCAGGTCATTATTGTGGCCACTGAAATGGAACAATAAGGGACGGACCATTACAAAAGTTATGGGGGGGGGGGGGAGGGGAATTTTCGAGCCGCAGGGATTTTTTTTCGTCATCAATTTCCTTGTATGACTTTTTTTTAGGCCATAGCATGAATATTTTTTAGGATTAATTGGCGTGCAAGAATTTTTTTCATTCAATTTTCCCTTGCATTTGCGCGAAATTTTTTTTGGTATTTCGCCCCCCCTCCCCGTAAGTTTTCTAATGGTCCGTCCCTAAGTTATTATTCGTAATAATAACCTCCTGTTCCACGTCAGTGACCTGCCCTTCCATTTACTGGAAATAATAACCTGTTCAAAACAATGGAAAGGTGCATTGAAATGTGAATAGGCCCTTACACTTCACCTTCGCTATAAGACTAAGATCGTTTTTATAATCATATTCATTTGTTAATTTGCTAGAGTATAATGCGAAAGAAAAAATCCAACGTTACCTTCAAGACCTGTCCGTCGTCTGGGTATTCATCTAAAATTTTCCTTAATTGCTGGATCAGCGATGGCTGAATCAGGTCAAAATCTTCATCATCAAAGTCCGCTTAAGAGAATGAAAACAAAAGCTGGTTTGATATAAAATTCATGTACCAAACGGCTTCGCTGATTTACAATAAAAAGGGGTGTTATTAAGATCACTGGAGTTCGACTGTAGCCTGCGAATTAATGCAGCCGTTTCTCCTATCTCTTCGCCTCTAGAGAGGTTTCGCAAGAAGGAACGTCTGCGATGTAAAATCTGTCCGGAATCTGGTCAGGAGCTCTGATTGGTCGACATAGAAGTTATATTGTTTCGGCCTATTATTTACAAATGACAAAAAAAAGACAAAAGGCCATGAAGGTCAAATGTAAACTGGGTCGTAAACGTGATGAATCTACTTCATTTCGAATACATTCTTCTTTAGAAACAGCATCTGTGTTTCGCAGTTGAACACAAACCTTTACCATAGTCGACCAGGAGAAACAGAAAATCAAACAAATTTACATTTAGAACCCCATGACTACCGGATTTATTATGTAAACGTTGCTTTACGTTATCAGTATGCAATTTCTGTCGTTGAGGCGCAGACTTTCCTCCTGGCGAAACTTCCCTAGTAGCGTGGATCAAGATTCGCAGGCTAGGCCGACTTGGACTAGATTATCGATAACCCCTATAGACTAGAATATTAATAAACGGGCGAC